GCCGCTAAATACTCCCAAATTAATTCTGCAAAAATCCGCAGATTTTTACCAAAATTCTCTGCAGAAATCGCAAAAAACGTCCGCAGATTCCGTCTGGCCCTGCTAATTCGTTATGAATTAATTATTCATATTCATTATCCGCCAATGACGACCATGCCATCGTCCATCGCAATGTTTCACAATGGACATCGTACGATGCCAAATTGGTCGACATCGCACCTAATCTAGAGCTAAAAATTAAACACTAATGCTGGGTGACCAACTTGCACTAGCAACTCAGAATTTGTCCTTCAGTCATTCACATGGTCTGAATGTTTGCACTTTGGCATAGTTTATTGCTAGTATAATAGTATGATGTAAACTTGTTTTAAGTATACCAGAGTCTTTAGTTTTGAGCGAGCTCAATGCCTCAGCAAGTGGCTGATTGGGATCCAAATAAACTCAAAAACCGTCTAGTCCTCTTTCTCTCTGTGAAACTGCTGCCGAGAGCAGGTTTGAGCGTGTTCTTCTGTCTGACCTTTAGCATGCGTCCCCAGTCCCCCACAGCACAAACCCTCAGTTAATAACTAAACCATCAACCGGCCACACTAACTGTTTATGGCAGAGGAAAGGTTGTTGAAGAAAGCCAACCGTTCGCTCTTCTATATTTGCAGTGGATGCCATTATTATCTCCTTGTGTTTGACTGGCTGCAGGGAGAAGCGAAGACGTGTGATTTATTAAAGAGTCAGTTCTGTCTGGATTCTCTTATTTTAAAGACACACTGAGTCAACATTGCTGGCAAAGCTATTTCTAGCTGATATTCTTCTTTTTCTTCTTCTTCAGAGAGTATAAATAGTGCCGTTACACTGATGTTGACCAGACAAACACTGTTTCTGTCATCAGAGCATTAAAAGAATGAAGAGTGATAGAGATTTCATTTTTATTTACGCACATTTTTCTACATTTCACACATATAGACTACCTAAGTGTTAGAAACAACAAATAATAACATGACTTATAGTATCATTTGGTATTATATAAGTCACTTATATGAAAGGGCAAAGGCCTCTAGATGACGCTTATTAGACCACAATAAAATATGATCATGCCTTGATTATTACTGATTTCATTAGGACAGTAAGGTCTGACTCTGCTTAGACTAAAGTCTCATCACTGAACAGAAATAATGTCCAGTATAGAATATAAAGTCCTGCTGCAGTGGAGACAGAATGAATATTGTGTCTGACTCCATCATGAGCTTGGAGGACTGCATCCATACATCTCTGCACTGACATGACTCAAATCACTGATTAATAAAGTCATCTGGAATGAAGAAGAAAGCGTTCAGCAGGACTCCTAGAGTTTATCAAGACTGTTTTGATTCATCTTCAACGCCTCCTCCTTCATCTTACCCCAGACATGCTCAATAATGTTCATGTCTGGTGATTGGGCTGGGCCATTCCTTGAGCAGCTTGACCGTCTCTGCTTTCAGGAGCTTTGATGTGGAGGCTGAAGTATGAGAAGGAGTGCTATCCTGCTGGAGAATTGTCCCTCTCCTGTGGTTTGTAATGTAATGGGCAGCACAAATGTCTTGATCCCTCAGGCTGTTGATGTTGATCATCCACTCTGCAGATCTCTCGCACATCCCCATACTGAATGTAACCCCAACCCATGATTTTTCCTACACCAAACTTGACTGATTTCTGTGAGAATGTTGGGTCCATGCGGGTCCATATATATTTATTTCTGGCATCCATCTGTCCATCCATCCATCAATCCACCTTTTTTGTAATGTTTTTGGGAATTATTTAGTTTTTATTTCCTGTTTTCCTTATTTAGTCATTTTATAAAAAACTTCTTGATTCTTTCACCCTTAGTAATCTCTAACAATTTGTGTTTTAGGAGGCAAAAGTGCTTTTTTAGCTCAACTATAATTCTGATATATATATATATATATATATATATATATATATATATATATATATATATATAT